TGATGGTGAGCAGGTTAGGAGGAAGCTTCTCGAACACGAGTCCTTGCAGAGTGCCGACCGCGTATGGAACCGAGATGATCGGTCTCCTTTTGTTGGTATGCTTCAGAACCAGCTCTATAATCTCACGATCGTAAAAACTAGAGAGAGATGTTGAGCGATTAGATAACAAGCCTCATGTCGGGTAAATCCTCACCTTCCGGACCACCAGCCTCGATAGTCTTTCCATCGCATGCTTCATTGGTTTCAATTTCCCTCCTGCTCAGGATCTCGATAGCGCGAGCTACATCGTCGACGAATACGGGCTGAAATCTGGCAGTACCGCCACCAAAGACTGGCATAACGGGCAAGATTTTCGCCAGCTGTGCAAAGCGCTGCGAAGCACCGTATTAACTTACACCGACGGCCCAGACAAAACCTTGGATGAGTAGTGTACGCACAGTAAAAAAGCCGTCTCCCTTCCCAAATAAGATGCTCGGCCGTATAATTGTTGCGTCCGGGCACGCATCCAGGATCGCGTCTTCTCCGAGGGCCTTCGTTCGGGCGTACGGCACAGGACTGTTGCAATTTGCGCCGATGGCGCTGATGTGGATGACTTTCGCGTGAGCTTTCCCTGCCGCTTTCGCTACATTTTCTGCGCCCTTCCACTGTACGCGCTCAAAATCTTCCACGCTGCCTTGCATGAGTCCCACCAGCGACACGACCACATCGGCGCCCTCCACAGCCGGGCCGAGCGTGTCTAGTTTGGTTATGTCTGCGTCCATGGGCGGCTCAAGCCGTTGAAGCTGATCCTCTGAAAGATTTCTGGCTAGTTCCGCGTGGGCTCTGGCGGTACTGTGGCGAGACACAAGTAATACGCGTCGCGGAGTACTGCTTGCGCTCAGTACAGCTCTCGCGACTGCTGACCCTGCTCTAACTGGTCAAGACACTGCAAGTTATTTCGCTCGTGAGAAGCTATGGCTTGCCTAAAAATCCAGCACCGCATACAACGACCCTTGGGAGGGACATGGTGAGAATTGACTGAGAGCCGCGCACGGACCAGGAGACATGGCGTCGATGACCCCAGCCCCGCCTCGAACCGCGATCCACGACACTTGCTCCTTTCGGTAATGATGAGATCAAATCCTGAGTGGCGTCCCGCTGGCACCGTCAGCCAAGTAAATAACGAGCGGGAACAGCACCTTCCATAGCTGACAATGACCGCGAGGCTGGCAATGTTTTGCGGCGGATAAGTATGCGATTGCAGACGCACGGTGGTGCACAGAAACCTCCGCTCTGGCATCTTCGTTGACCGAAATGTCCCTCCCTGCTGGGCAGCACATCCGCTTCGTCGACCCTCTCCCCTCTCCTCCAGCCAACCGTCCAAGAAGGGTGCGTCTTCAGCATCCACTCCACTTCCCAACGTTCAATAGCGGCTGACAAAAAGCTTCATCTAGCCAGGGCTAAAGTACCCAAGCGTCGCACAGCGCAAGGACGTGCCCGACAGGATGACCTCTCCTGACCTCGCCTGGCCTGGGCCACGCCCTCTGTCGCGCACGAACCTGTCAATCACACCCTTCTCCTTACCAACGCCATCAGAGTCCTCGCCCCACAGCATGTCCTGGGAGGATTGCACGGTACGCACGAGTGCTAGGTTCTGGGTGTTCCCAGACAAGTGATGGTCAGTGTCCAGATACCCGACATCGAGAGACCGCAACGACCACCCTCGATGAGCATTAGCGACTCGTTACGCGGTCTGTTCAGCTTTGCGCGTGGTAATCTCATGTCGCTCTCGCCCTCACCCTCGAAACATTCGCTGGACAGCTACCCCGTCGAACGGCCACGGCTCTTCCTCCGCTGCGGCTCAGCGGACAGCCGCGCATCGTCCTCGCCGTCGTCGACCATCTGTGAGTCGGACTCGTCGGCGGTAATTCCCTGTCAAGCACGCCGGCGTGCGAGATCAGGCAAACCTGGTTAGAGGAAGCGGCGTTTGCCCAATCCCATGGAGGTTCTCATCCCTAAAGCATCTGGAACATCTACCCAAAGCTGGCTCCTGGTTGTCATACATCATAGTAGATAATACAGTGATACACACATCAGAAAGGAAGAACAAAAAAACTTGGCACGAATCAAATCGAGAAGTACAGCAGGTATCTAGTCAGCATCAGCGTGCATCTGCCCTCTCCCCCTCCTGATACGCTCCTCGAGACCGCCGACGCCACCAAAGACTTTCTTCTGCTCGTGGCTCAAGAAGTTGCCCATGCCCTTGCTCTTCACACGCGCACGCTCCTCCGCCTCGAGCTCCGCCTTCTCCTTTTCCAGCAGCTGCGTGAGGTGCTCCCGACGTTCGACGCTCATCTCGCTCGCATTCGACGTCATCGCCGCCAGCTTCGCGGCTCGCTCTTCTGCCAAGGAGGCGGCAGGCCGGCGGGGCTCGTCCGCGTACGGCCGTCGGGGAGGTGGTGGCGGGCTGCGGTGCATGCGCATGCGATCGCCGTCACGTCTGTCAGGGCTTGGACTGCGTCGCCGTTTCCTGTCGTCGTAGTGATCTTTGGGGTCTGCTGACCTATTCTGGCTCTGGCGGCGGCCGTAGCGGGCGTTGTCGTCGGAGTCGTCAGACCTCGGCCAGGTAGGCATCCGTTCGTTCTCTTGACGACCTCGTGATTTCTCTCTTGGACTGAGGCTACGGTCCCTCCGTCGTGACGGCCCCGGCGATCGACTGTACGAGCGATCCCGTCGTGAACCACGTTCGTAGCGATCAGACTCATAACGGCGTCGAGGGGAGCGGGAGCGAGAGTCACGTCCGCGGGGGCTACGAGAGCGTCTCAAACGGTGGTAGCGATCTGGTGAAGCAGAACGGTAGCGATCGGAGCGAGGTGAAGCTGAGCGGTCGCGGTGCTTGTCCTTCTTATGCTTCTTCTTCTCTTTGTTATCCTTCTTGTCTTTCTTCGGCTTAATACCTGCCTTCTCCTGCATCTGGCGCAGCCTGAGAGGATTCGACATGAGGGCCTGATATGCCGCTTGCTCCTGTTGTTTGATTGCAAGGAGGGGGTCCTCGCGAATCTTGGCAGCCACATCGCGAGCAGTGTTAGCATACTGGGTAGCGATGAAGTTCCTATGCGCAGCACCGAGC